CATCATTGCTGCATATTAGCGCATAATCAGCATTTCCTCATCAATGCCCACCAGTGCCGCCTCATCGGCGCTGCCTCATCAGTGCTGCCTATCAATGCCGCCTCATCAGTGCCCATCAGTACAGCCTCATCAACGCACATCAGTGAAGAAGGAGAAAAATTACCGGATTGCAAACTTTTATAATAGAAACAAAGACCTTTTTCTTTTTTTCAAATGTTTTGCTCCATTTTCTGTGCAGGGCAAAAATAAAAAACCCAAGTGGCAATTAAATACCACCAAAAGAAAGCTCTATTTGTGTGAAAGAAAATGATAAAAATTTCATATTGGTACAGTGTTGCTTGACCACGCAATTGTCATTCAAAGTGCAACAGCACTGAAAGCTGAAAATTGGCCCGGACAGGAAGAGGGTAAAAATGCCAGGTAGGCATTAAAGTGGATATACAATGTAACCTTCTTTACGTTCTGTACAAGGTTTTTTTTTTTATTACTGTCCAATAAAACATTTGAACAGGATATTAGCAGGGGTGCTCAAATCGCCTAACACCTGGGACATGCAATTCCAGATGGTGGGCAAGTGTTTTCTTTTTTCACCCTACATTTAGTCCTGCTGCAGGCAAGCAACAGGGTTAACTATTTTTTTTACCCCTTAACCACTTCCTGTCCGGACACTTTTACCCCCTTCCCGTCCAGGGCAATTTTCAGCTTTCAGCGCTATCACACTTTGAATGACAATTGTGCGGTCATGCAATACTGTACCCATATGAATTTTTTACCATTTTTTTGAGACAGATAAAGCTTTATTTTGGTGGTATTTATTCTCCGCTGGGATTTTTATTTTTTTTTGCTATGTAAATGAAAACGTCCAAAAATTTAGAAAAAAAGTGTTTTTTGCAAAATTTTGCAAATAAATAATATTTCATCATAAATCTTGGCCAAAATTTATTCCGTTATTTTTTTAGTAAAAAAAAAAAAATCCAAATTAGTTTATAACCAAAAATTATAATTTTTAAACATTTTATTTAATTTTTTTATATTATTTTTTATTTTTATTTTTACATATTGTCACCCTAGCAGTACAGTGTCACCATGGTGACACTGTACTACTTGTGGGGGGTGATGAAGATTTTTTTTTTTTTACACCGATTGCTTTTACACCCATATAGGATGTAAAAGCAATAATTTCTCTTTCTCTCTGTCTGCATTCTTGCAGTCATTGAGAAGTACTGAGTGAGCTGTGATTGGTCACAGCTTGTCACATGGTACAAGGCTGTTGTGAATAGCCGTGTGTACCATGTGACCTCTGTGATCATTCACAGATTTCACACGTAGTAAGCAATGATGTCACAAGTGACATCTTGCTTACTACTTTGCATGTGATCACCGATTGGCCAATCAGTGATCACATGAGCGGGACCTCGTACAGAGGTCCCGTCCGACGATCAGTATTTCACTGTGTCCGGAGCCACCGCCCTGCCGTTTATAAACAGCAGGCGGACGGCAAGTGGTTAATAGAACAGACACCTGCTGACTTCCTGCCCAGTGATCGCAGCGGAGAGATCAGCGGGCAGAGAGGAGCACACACTAACCCTGAGCTCCAGAGGATGAAGGGTCAAGCACATGCACTTGTACTGGGCACCCAAATGCTTCCGTGTGAGGGTAACCTGAAGGAATAGTTTCTTTTTTCTTTTTTTCCCCCTTATTGGAGACAGTGCCTCATTTACTCACTCAGCAGATGAGCTTCTGTTGAGTGTTAGGAAGAACCAACACTCCCCTTTCTTGACGAACACCCCAATAGGTGCTCCTCACACTGCAAGGTTTCTAAGCTTCCTGCTAGTGCCTGGGTGTGGTGCTGAAGACAGACTGGGAGGTGCTAAAATCATTTTAGGAGGACAAGTATATTGTCATGAAGGACAAGTAGACTGGGACCCCAATTTAGTCCCTTGAACAAGTAGTTGTTAAATTTCAATGTAACCATTCTTTCAATGTGTATAAATATATATATATATATATATATATATATATATATATATATATATATATACATACATACATACACACATATATATATATATATACACACACACACACACACACACACACACACACACACACACACACACACACACACACACTTGTTGTCAGGCTCCGCCCAACGGGATCTCTAGTGGTCCACGGCACGGGGTTTCCCAGGACGCGGAGTCTAAGTCCCAGTCTGCCTTTTCACCAGGGCCCCTGATGGTGGGGATGGACTTGGTGCAAGACTGAAACCAGGTCGCGTCCCTGGGCACCCCCGGCGGTGGCAGAGGGGTCCCGCTGAGGGTATGTGCCCGGGTTGAGCCTGCTGTGAAGGGGACGACAGATCCCGATCCGAGCGGGATGGATGGGATGACAGATCCCGATCCGAGCGGGATGGACAGATCCCGATCCGAGCGGGATGGATGGGCAACTATCAGGAGTAGGTGGGGTCAGACTAGCCGGGTCGGTATTGTGCGGGCCGCGTGGTACAGGGGGAGTAAGCGGAGAATGGTCGGGGTCACAAGCCAGGTTCAGCAGGTAGCGGGCAGCGCGGTACAGAGGGTCAGGCAGAAGGATGGTCAGGGACGAGCCGGGGTCAGAGCAGGAGAAGGTCAGCATAAACAGAACAGGCAGAGTATGGCAACAAGGAAGCGTACTTACAGGACAGGAACAAGACCTTGCGGCAACTTGGAGATGCACAGGGCAGCTTTAAATAGAGCGCCCCGCTCCCTCATTGGTGCGGCCGCGATCGCTACTGCGCATGCGCGGCCGCCGCGATCGCCGAGGACTCTGCGCTCGCCGGCTGGGACGGATCGGCGGTCAGCGCATGCGCGCGCCGCCGAGGACCCGGGATCCCTGACAGTTGTGTTCAAAATAATAGCAGTCAGACATCACTAACCTGATCAATCACTGTTTTTGGTAGAAATGATATTTCTACATGGCAAATAATTTACTAGCAGGTGTAGTAGAGTAATAGAAATCCAACAGACCCAACAGTCATGATATGCATGCTGCTGATTCTGTGTAATTGAATCACTAATTGAAAGGGGCATGTTCAAAATAATAGCAGTGTGGAGTTCTATTAGTGAGGTCATTCATTCTTTGAAAAACAGGTGGCAATTATTGCCCTTATTTAAGAAAGGAAAGCAGCAAATGTTGTACATGCTGGTTACAGTGCATTTCTCTCTGAAATTCTGAGGAAAATGGGTTGTTCCAGACATTGTTCAGAAGAACAGCATGCCTTGAATAAAAAGTTGATTGGAGAGGGGAAAACATAAAGAAGTGCAGAAAATGATAGGCTGCTCAGCTAAAATGATCACAAACGGTGAAAAACTACCATTCAAATGGATAGAAGAATAGCCAAAATGGCAAGGACTCAGCCAACAATCAGCTCCAGGAAGATCAAAGGTCTAAAATTACCTGTGAGTACTGTTACAATTAGAAGACGCCTATGTGAAGCCAAGCTATCTGCAAGAAGCCCCCGCAAAGTCCCACTGTTGAAAAAAAGACGTGCTGAAGAGGTTACAATTTGCCAAAGAGCACATTGACTGGCCTAAAGAGAAATGGCGCAACATTTTGTGGACTGATGAAAGTAAGATTGTTCTTTTTGGGTCTAGTGGCCGGAGACAGTTTGTCAGACGACCCCCAAACACTGTACACTGTGAAGACAGTGAAGCATGGTTGCACAAGCATCATGATATGGGGATGTTTCTCATACTACGGTGTTGGGCCTATTTATCACATACCAGGGATCATGGATCCGTTTGAATACATCAGAATACTTGAAGAGGTCATGCTGCCTTATGCTGAAGAGGAAATGCCCTTGAAATGGGTGTTCCAACAAGACAACGACCCCAAACACACCAGTAAATGTTCAAAATCTTGCTTCCAGACCAGCAAGATTGATGTTATGGAGTGGCCAGCCCAATCCCCGGATCTTAATCCAATAGAGAACTTGTGGGGTGACATCAAAAATGCAGTTTCTGAGGCAAAACCAAGAAATATAGAAGAACTGTGGAATGTAGTCCAATGATCCAGGGCTGGAATACCTGTTCACAGGTGCCAGAAGTTGGTTGACTCCATGCAACACAGATGTACAGCAGTTCTCAGAAACAGTGCTTATACAACTAAATATTAAGTGATTCAAAGGAAAGCAAAATCTTCAAACATTTTTCAGTTTATACAGTGAATGTTTGAGTTTGTAAAGAATACAAACACTATTTTTTTTTGAACAGTCTAATATTCACTTTTCTTCAATTTTTTTTTAGAGGAACACCACAAATTTGATATATTTGTCTTCATGTTTTGATTTGGAATAGAATGTGTAGTGTTCCCAATGCATTTGTGTGTATGGAAATAAAAGCTATTAGAAGGATTTTGAGCTTTATTCACTTTTTTCAACACACTATTATTTTGAACACAACTGTGAGCGTATATATACATATATATATATATATATATATTCATTCAATGTGTCTTCATATCACTGTAGTGCTTAGCAATGTTAATTTTATGCTCCTTTTTAATCTTATTTCCTGATGTAATGGGTTTGTTAAAAATACTTATTAAATTAAGAAATACTCTGTCCAGATACCTGAGAAGTTAACTAAAACTGACTGAGTTTATGGTTTTCTTGCTATACCATTTGTTTGATATTCTGTGTAATTGATTTGTCCCCCTGCTTGTTATTTTTCCTAAAAACGCAATAAAAATGATTGCACAGAAAAATAGAAATGCTCCCTAAACCCTAGCCATAACAGAGTCGCTTACACTAAAGTAACTAATAGAACAGAGCACTCATCAACACAGCAACTAATAGCCATGAAAGCTCACACTCCTAAGCCAAGATCTTGGTGCTGAAAACCACTGATCCAAAAAAGCAAGGTAACAACTCAGTTGAAGGACATTTCTCATTGCATGCTGCAAGCCTGTATTGACTGTATACGTTTTATTGCTCAGTGGGTAAACTGGAACATAATAATTACCTGTTGTACTCAGCTCCTCGGAAAAGATTTAAAGGATTGCGCCACACCTTGCATTCTGAAAAAGTAAAATTATTGGTTGTAAGATTTGGTGGTAAAGGACAAGTTTTCACACTCCTTGAAAAAAATGTATTAAGCTGCACAGTATAGTAACTTAATGATTTAGACTTCCTCACCTGCAGCTCATACACACTGGTCCCTGAGAATCGGCGCCTTCTCTACCTCTCTATTTACATGCGACATTGGAGACTTGCTTCTGCTCTACTTTGAAGGCTTGCCTTGAAGTGACAACTATCCTGGTGACCTCGTGGATCTTCTGACAAAAGCAGTGGTCTTCTCCTCCTTCCCCCTTCTAATATCCCCCCCATACTATTGGGGTTATGGACCTAGCAGTGGACACTTAATTTGTCCCAACTCACCTCCATGTATGTATTGAAAATATAACTAATCATGCCAGAAAACTCTCTTTTATTAAAGAATAGCAATCATACGAAGCCATTTATTATCACAAAATTGTTTGGCTCCTTTTTAAATCATAATGATAACAGAAGTTACCGGAATGGCCCTGATCAAAAGTTTACATACCCTGGAATGTTTGGCTTTGGTACAGTAACACAAGGTGACACACATGGGTTAAAACGGCAATTAAAAGGTGAATTTCCCACATCTGTGGCTTTTTCAATTGCAGTTAGTGTCAGTGTATAAATAGTGAACAAGCTTGTTAGCTCTCACGTGGATGCACTGAGCAGGCTAGATACTGAGTCTTTGGAAGCAGAAAATAACTTTCAAAACCTGCATAACAAAGTAATGGAATTTTATAAATCCAAAGCCTTTAATATGACAGTCAGTACTGTTCAATTACTTGTTAAGAATTGGAAATTTCAATGATCTCTCGTACCAAGTCAAGGTCAAGTAGACCCAGAAAACAATTGTTCGGGATACAAAGAAAAAATCCACAAGTAACCCCAGGAGAAATACAGGCTGCTCTGGAAAGACACTTGAGCTACATGATCAAGTTGCCAGAAAGAAGCCTTTACCTTGCTAATGACACAAAAAAAGAATGTTACAATATGCCCAACAACACCTTGACATACCATCTCACAGCTTCTGGAACACTGGAAACTGGAGTGACACACCCTTAAGCTCTATGTTTAAAGAGGGATCAACAAAGCCTATAGTGCCAAGAATACCATCCCCACTGTGAAGCATGTTGGTAGCTCACTGATGTTTTTTTTTTTTTTTTTTTGCTCTAAAGGCACAGGGAATCTTGTGAAAATTGATGGCAAGATGAATGCAGCATGTTATCAGAACATACTGGCAGACAATTTGCATTCTTCTGCAAGGAGGCTGTGCATAGAATACTCTTGAACTTTCCAACATGAAAATGACTCTAAGCACAAGGCCAAGTTGATCCTCCAGTGGTTACAGCAGAAAAGGTGAAGGTTCTGGAGTAACCATCACAGTCTCTTGGCCTTAATATCATCAAGTCACTCTGGGGAGATCTCAAACGTATGGTTCATGCAAGACAAAGACTTTGCATAACCTGGAGGCATTTTGCCAAGATGAATGGGCAGCTATGCCACCTGCAAGAATTTGGGGTTTCATAGACAAATATTACAAAAGACTGCACCCTGTCATTGATGTTAAGGGGGCAATACACAGTACTGAGAACTAAGGGTATACAGACTTTTGAACAGGGGTCATTTCATTTGTTTACTTGTTGCCATATTTTGTTTTATGATTATGCCATGCTGTTATGATCTACAGTTGAATATGAATCACATAAGAAATAAAAGAAATGTGCTTTGTCTGCTCACTTATGTTTTCTTTAAAAAATTGTACGTATATTACCAATTCTCCAAGGGTATGCAAACTTTTGAAGACAACTGTATGGCCAGCTTAGGTATGCAGAATGGAAGTACATACATAATTATAAACTATACACTGGCACAAGTTGATGTTTTTTATTTTACTTATTAACACAGACTGGTATAGTTAACTAAAGGCAAAACGTTTTTTTCTTCAGATTTGGATACAGTGGTGAGGAGTTAGACTTGTCAGTCTTTTATTGATGTCTGTTTCCCCATTGGAAAGAATCACCCTCTCTAACTGTCCTGATCACCAATGCCACCCCGGATATATAAATGAATGTAAATCCAAAATTTTAAATTGCCACCAGAACAGGGATAGATAGAAAATGTTTCAAGGGAGACAACTGTCTCAGAGGGATTTCCCTCAAATTGAAGATCTATCCCCTCACAACCTATTGGGCATACAGGGCAGGAAGTGAAAGGAACCCTCTTTAACCACTCTTGCCTACTTGCCCTTCAGAGGATTTACCCCCCTTCCTGACGAGGCCATTATTTGTTTGTTATGGCGCTTCATTACTTTAACTGACAACTGCGCGGTCATGCAACGCTGCACCCAAATTAAATGTACGTCCTTTTTTTCCCACGAATAGAGCTTTCTTTTGGTGGCATTTCATCGTCTGTGCGTTTTTTTTTTTTTTTTTTTAACAAAAAAAAAAAAAGTCCGACAATTTTGAGAAACAAAAGAATATTTTTGACTTTTTGCTATTAAATATGTCCAGTAAAAAAAAAATCAAATTTCCTCAAATTTAGGCCAAAATGTATTCTGCTATATGTCTTTGCTACAAAAAAAAAATACCACTACATGTAAATTAATTGGTTTACGTGAAAATTATAGCGTTTACAAATGGCAGTATATATACTGGGCTTTTTGTTTATTTTTACTAGTAATGGTGGTGATCAGGGACTTATAGTGGGACTGCGGTGGGCATTCTGACACTGGGGGGTAACAGACCTGGTGTCACTGACATCCCCAGTGACACCAATACAGTGTTAATAAAAAGCACTGACACTCTACTAATGGCACTGGGTATGAAGGGGTTAACATCTGTTGCGATCAAAGGGTTAACTGTGTGCTGCTTTACTGTAAGCACACACTGTGCCGGAGCTGACAGGGAGAACTGTTTTGTTTACGCACAGCTGCCGCCCTGTAGCAGTATTTCTGCTATGGGGCAGAGCTGAAACAGTTAATGAAGTTAATGAGAGACAGGTTGCAAAAAGAAAACTTAAAGTGGTTGTAAAGGATCAAGGTTTTTTATCTAATGCATGAAAGTAAAAAAAAACATTTGTCTGCAGCGCCCCCACCCTACCCATCAGCCCCCTTAATACTTATCTGTGCCCCATCGCGATCTAGCGATATACACGAGAGCCACAGCTCTCTCAGCTGAGCCATTGACTCCTGCTGTTGTCAAGCACAGCAAGTGAGAGAGAGGGGGGCAAGGTCGAACCACACACTGCAGCTCGGGACCAAGCCTGCTTGGGTGCCCCATAGCAAACTGCTGGCTTTGTGGGCAATCAGCAGGAGGAAGGGGCCAGAAGCACTGGTGGGGGACCCAAGAAGAAGAGGATCAGGGCTGCTCTGAGCAAAAACACTGACAGAGCAGGCAAGTATATCATATTTATTATTTTTTTTTTAAATGCCTTTAATATCACTTTAACATTGGTTTGAACGTTTACTTGTTCTACCCAAAACGTTTTGGCTTTAGATCAAGCTGATGTCTTATACTATAAATATATATATATTAAATATAATCGAAAATATCTTCCTTTAAAGACCCTCAAATAACTATTCAGAATATGTATACCCATTTCCTGTACCTATAGATAGAATTTTAACATTATTTAGCACCATATTTGTATATTGTAAATTAATAATTTTTGGCAGATAAAATCCCTCCCAAGTCTGGCAAGCACTGTATGATGCCTATGGTTAGCCATAAATCTTGCTACAAATTCAATACAAGAGGAAAGAACTGCATATCTTGTTTATGTAATCCAGCCATTCTCCCAATGTCCTTAATGCCATTTCTGATCATTTTCTCTATCATTTAAAAACACAGGTATCTCCCACCACTGCTTCCATTGCAGGAGTCTAAATGAGGTGCAGTGACTGTAATGTAATGCGTAATGCAAAAAAAAAAAGAAGGAGATGGGAACTTATTGGTAGAAGAAAGAGCAACTGGCAATGCTAATATCACTAAGAGTTTATTGAAACATTTTCTCAGAAAGCTATCAATGAATCAAATTTTTTGCAGAATGCTTTTCAAAACAGTCTTACTATGGTGAAAAAAAAAAAAAGTACACAGTAAAATTGTCAATTCATAAGTTATTTGAACTGAATGATTTTACTAGGCTGTCTAGCCCTTTTCAACAACACCAAGCTGGTCAGACAGGCAAAACATAGCACAAATAAAGAAACTCTACAAAAATATATATATTTTTTTAAATAATCAAAGTAAAATTCTCACAGGGGAGTTCACAGGGGGAAGGTTGACAGCAAAAAATTACGACACGTGGGGTACAAGCCCTATGAGTCAAGCTAAGCCTCCCTAGTAAATCCTATTCTAACTGAGCTTGCTTGGGCAAAGGATGACTGATAAAGAATATACTGGATCAGTCTTACTGTGCGCTTAATGAACGATAAAGACTTTTCATTTCAACACAATAACATTTGTACAGCTTTACAGCTTCACCATTTTCAATTACTAATTTAAAAGAAAGCAAAAGCCATGCAATTAAAAAAAATACTGTTTATATGTTATTTGGGGTTTTAAAGAGTTATTCAGATCCAAGGAATTGACAGTGAAAACATAGAAACAAATATTTTATGCCACATACTTTAAAATGTAAGCAATTGCAAATTCTGAGGTGTCTAGAACAGAGACATGATGTGCACTCAGTGAGCATTACATTGAGTCACTACAGTTCATCTAACACCCGTGACCCTAACTGAGTCAGTCAAATGGAAACCAGACTGTGGAACTTCTGCTTTTTTAGGTCCAGTCAGTGTTTGTTGCTGAGGATTTTCAGTCCATTCAATTGTGCCATATGATCCTGTCACTAACTGTTCCATTCATCTGCAATATGTAATCATTTTGGAAATGCTTGTGCTATTTCCAGTCGCTATCAGTCACCTGACAAAGCTTGCCTGCTGGTTTCGCTGCCTGAAAAGAAACCATCTGCAGAGGCTCCTGGATCGATTCCTCCCATCAGCGGTCGTAAATGGTTTACGGACACTTGCTCAATGAAAGATGTTCCGTATTTCCGAAAGTAACACCACTCAAAAATCTAAAATATAAAAAAACAGGTAAACTAATTCACATTAGAATTTACTTTTTATCTCTGGTTTTCCTAGCAGCTCAACTGAATCAGCTTTAAAATACACCAATCAGCTATAACATTATGGCCACTGACAGATCAAGTGAATATTATTGATTATCACGTTACAATGGCATCTGAAAGTAGGTAGGATATATTAGGCAGCAAGTGAACATGTCTCCTGGTCTTCAGTGGTTAAAACCTACCAAACGTGGTCCAAGGAAGGAAAACTGGTAAACCGGTGACTAGGGCCATGGGTGGCCAAGGCTCAGTGTTGCATGCAGGGAACAAAGACTGACTCATGCAGTTTGTTGTGTATGGGGCTGATTAGCTGCAGACCGGTCAGGGTGCCCATGTGACCTGTGTCCACAGCCAAAAACGCCTACAATGGGCACCTGAGCATCAGAACTGGGCCACAGAGCAATGGAAGGAGGTGGCCCGGTCTGATGAATTCAAGAAGGGTGTGAAGAACACGAGTTTGAGGTGTTGACTTGGCCTCTAAACTCTTCTGATCTAAATCCAGTTTGGACTTAAAGGATGTTCTACTGATTACTTGACTTGCTCCCAGATACCAGAACATACCTTCAGAGGTCCAGTTGACTCCATGTCTCAATGGGTTATAATTGGTGGTCATTACATTATAGCTGATCAGTGTAGTATAATAAATGTGTTAAAACATTACCACTTAAGTCTCATGAACATGGGCGTATTGGGGCATATAACATAAAATACATCTGTATTTCTGCGTGCAGGAGTTATAGGTGTTGTGTAAAGCCTGAACAAATGATTTACAGCAGTGTTTTTCAACCTTTTTTCAGTCAAGGTGCCCTCAAAAAATATTTTCAGTCTCGGGGCACCCCAGACTAAAAGGCACATTTTTACCATCCACACTGCTCCCTCTTTAGCTGAAGAGGCAGCAGTCGAGGTCATACACATAATGCTGCCATGGCAGGAAATATACCCTCTGTCACAGGCACTTCAGCCCAACGAATATGACCCATTCAGGTGAATTGGGGCCATTTAGCAACTGCCCTGCAACAGTGTGTATTGTATGAGGTTGCAGCACTATGGTGCTGCATTTAGGGGAATAAAACAGGTGGTGAGCAAGAAACATATTACCTCTTTACCACCTGTCAAATTCCTCTAAAAAGTGGTCTGAGCGTGTATCGCTTTTTAGAGGAACGACTCTCCTTTCTGCTATTGAACATGCCCTAAAAAAGCAGTAATGGAAAAATCAATTCAGATCTACAGCTTTAGTGGTCAGGATGAAAAAATGTACAAATATACATATACACACGCATATAAACATACACACACACTAACTCCCATACAGACATGAACTCCCATACCTATACATATATAAATACCCTCACCTCACACACACACACACACACACACACAGCCTTTTTGTCAAATCCACACTGTACCTGCACTAGCATTGCTGAGTGAACGGTTAGTTTGCACTACTACCTATAGGGGAAGGCAGAGAGACGCCTCACCCTTCCACTGCTCTACTGGTTAGTTTGCACTACTGCCTATGGAGGGAGGTGGAGAGATTCAGGAAGATGCCTCCCACTTCCACTGCTCTGCTGGTTCCCCTGATCGAGTGAGATAATGGAGGGGCACAGTCAGTCACTGTGTTGTTGTATCATCAAATTAATAATTTTCTCCAAAGTAACCAAATTTGATGATAATAATAAAAGTTTATTTTATAATTTAAGATAAAAGTATAATCAAAATAGTAATTATGTTTAAAATTAATATGACTGGGAAGCTGTGAAATGTTAATAAATTGTAATAAATTGATATGAAAAAATTAAAAGAATAAATCTATTCAGAAAGACTTCTATTGCTCACAACTACAGCTTTTTCATGAATGAACATGATTAGCAATGTCCAGTCACTGTAAATATCTTATAATCATACAGTAAGTCCCCTACTTACGAACGTTCAACTTGCGAACCTCCAAAGATGCGAACATGTGTTTGCATATCTAGTTGTGTAAAGCTGGGTACACACACTCAATCATTTTTTTTTCAACCCAGTGGGCTCAAGGAAAAAAAAACTGACAGATCATCCTACTAACACAAGCAATGTTGGTGCTGCGATCTCCCCCCGCTGTGCCTTAGTGATCTGACAGGGAAATTCTCCTCGCTAAAACACACTGATCAGCGCTTGCAGCCATTTTCTGCAAGCGCTGATCTTTGTTGCACTTACAAACAAGTTGGACTCGTTTGTAAGTAAGGGACATACTGTACATAAGGTAGTTGATTAGGCTGAATGATCTGACTGTTTAGATAGGAACGATTAGACTCTTGGACAATAATCTATTCTTCGGACTTGCACATTTATAAATTAAGTATGTAAATACTAAACTTTTTTTTAATATATATAATGGGGAATTGCTAGAACCCCTGTTGAGTTACTATTGAATTCTATGTCCCCACTAAGACAACTCATCCTTACTACAGGTCCGTATGGCCACTGCTACTGGGACTGAAAGAATATCCAAAATGGTGATTTGTAACCAGAGGAGGAATTGTGGAAATCTTTCGGTGGGGACAGTGGTTCCTTTGACAACTATCAAAGAGAGCATTACCTCACCTTGAGGAGATTTACATTCACTTCCTGTTACATCTATAGGACAGGAGGTGAATAAAAATCTCTCCAATAGAACAGCAAAAAAAATGATCGGGCTTTTAACTATACCCTTCTCTATCCAAAATAAAAAGATTAGGTATACTCTGACTGTCTTGGACTTTTACATTTGTACACATGCACAGGTTTAAGCAAGCATGTAGCATCTATAGTGCCCAGGAAGGGAAATACACTGTACATAAACTCTAAATCAGGAGACTCCAAACTTTCTAAACAAAGGGCCATTTTACTGTCCTTCAAACTTTAGGGGGGCCGGACTGTGGCCAGCAAGGGTGGAAATTTTCCTAGCATCAGTGGGAAGAAACATTGCCACATTTGATATTAAAGAGAGGAACAGTGTCCTATCATTGGGAAGAAGAGAGCCCCATTACTGCTTTCAATGAGAGAAATGGTGACCCGTTGTTGGTATCAGTTTATACAACAGTGTCTTGTATCAGTTGGTGGCACAGTGCCCCAGCAAAGAGCCACATCCGGCCCTAGGGCTACAGTTTGGAGACCACTGCTCTAAATCATACAAAAGCACAAATCCTTTACAGGCTAATAAAGGTAATACAAGGCACCCTGTAGTGCCTGCACTAAATTTAAAAAGGAGTATAGGCTCACTTTAATGTGTATATGTTTGCTCTATCATGCTCTATTAGCATAAATCTGACATAAAAAGCAATAGCAAATTCCCTTACACAGTGAACAATCTTCCTAAATGTAGATGCTTTTCCACATGACAAGAGCAGTCATTTCTCAATAAAAGCTAATTATGTGAATTATTAAAAGCATACATTATCTTCCCATTATAATTATCTTAACTCCCAATAATTCTCTGAAACATTTAAATGAAATGGCATCCCTCATATTGTCATTATGGTGTGACCAAATTTTTACTTTTTTCATACTTTTCAAGACTTAATTATACCACCACAGCAAATCAATGCAGATTCCCACAAAACCAAGTGTGGGAAGATGCAATAAAATGGGGTCAACAAGATTAGGATAGAGGCACATTTCCTTGCACTCATATTATTCTTAGTGAGCTACTCCCCCTACTGATCAAATGTAAATCCATACAGTACTTTATTCAGGTGCTATATTAGGTGCAGCCCCCTGGCTAAAAAAAAAAAAGATAACTGTAAAGTCCCAGATTCCCCCAGGTGTCTGCATGCCACCTCTAATTCCCATTATTGCACATACTGGTCAGCTTCTCTGGGTGCTCACTCTGGTCCCCTCAAGTACCTTACTATTGGTTATTAAAGTGGTTGTAAACCCACTCATATACCCAATGAAGTGACTACCCTCAAGCGATACAAAGAGATTTAAAAAATACTCCTGCAGTCTTTACTTTTCTACATCCCTTCAAAAGGGCTGATTTTAGGTAAAATCCTTCAGAATTTGTCAGTAACTTGGAGTTGGGGGTAGGGAGCTGCAGTTAGAGCTCTGTGAGAGCTGATTGGAGGAGAGGGACGACCCCCTTCACACAGCACACTGGAGCTATGTTATGACAGCAAGCTGTCTGCTGAACTCCCCCCCCCCCCACACACACACACACACACACACACACAAATTTATCTCATGTGTCAGGAGCACATCTCAGAACTCAGAATGTTTATAACAAAGTACCAGCGAGGAACGACAAAAGTGGAGTTCCACCCAAAAGGGGAAATTCTGCTTTAATGCTTTGTCCCCCGCTCCCCATTAAGGATTGGCACCTTTGGGGAGCGGGGGGAAAACGGGTATCTGAATTTGACAGGTACCCGCTCCAACTTCCGCTGTGATCGCCTAGGTGATCAGAAGCGGAAGTTGTCTCCCCTCCCCATAGTCTTTTTTTTTTTTTTTTTTTTAAATGTTTATTAAGTTATCAATTCAAATACAAATCACATTCACATTTCTAATAAAAAGACATTCAAACAATATCTTCCTATTTGCAAAAATTATTTAAATCCCTTACCTCAACCCTTCCTCTTCCCCCTCCCCCCTTCCTCAGCCTCCCACCCCACCCCCCCGCTTCCACTCTGCGCTTTCTCTCTTCTCCTTTACACCATGCGTTTCTATTATTTCTAAATCCATTTCAAGGGGTATTATATCCTCATATATTTCACTTTTTCTCTATACTCTTCCCATTTTTTCCACTTTGTATTATACATCTCCATCTTATCTATATGCATGTAATACAGTCTTTCTGTCCCACAGATCTGGTTCATTCTGCCCATCCAATCCTCCTCTGTTGGCACCTCTTTTTTTTT